AAACAGCTGTAGGAAATGACAACCTCCCCTACTCTCACCTTTGCACTTCCCCCACCTTATCACCTGCCTTCCCTGCTCCAAATTAACTTGTAAATTTATGTTTATAAATTTTATGTTAACTATGATAAATATACTTGTTTAGGAGCTTTGTTTTTAGTGGCAGGGACAACTTTGAAAACCTGCAGTTTTTCAAATTATAAATTTCTTCATTCTTTTTATATACTGTGGAAGATTGTATCTGAAGCTTATGAGAAAATCTTAGTCACAAAGTTTTAGAACTAGAATAAACCTTAACAGTTCATACTTTTAAGCTTATAGAAAAGGAAAATGAGGTATTAAGAGATTGACTTCCTTAAAGTCACCAGCTTTTTAATAGTAAAACCAAAGCCATGGCTCTTTTGATTCTTAGTGTTCTTTGGACTACACTGTACTATTGTGCTGTCCAAAGGTGTCATTGCCATCTCACTAGAAGAATTTACTGGGTTGAATTTGTAATTGCATTATTGGAGCAAGTAGTTAAAGCTGTACTATGTTCTTGAATATTTGTAATTATCTTCTGGTCCCATTGAAGAGCTAAAACAGAACATACTTGTTTGCGCTATAGACAGGACGTGTGTGTGTGTGTGTGTGTGTGTGTGTGTGTGTGTGTGTGTGTGTATGTGTGTGTGTGTGTGTGAGAGAGAGAGAGTGTGTGTGTGGGGGGGGTGGGGGGGAACAGACACTGACTACTCTATCCCCCAAATCCTCTTTATTCTAGCACTTACAGGAGTTCCAAGTTTCAATTCTGCAATCAGTGCTATTCAGACTATAAGCCTTCTGGGTCAATAGGCTTACACAAATATAAAGGAACCTCAATTTAGTTCTTTGCTTAGAACTATGAACAGTCAAGAAAGAAGCAGTCCAACAGCATGAAACCCAAGATGAGCAAACATTACCTGAAAAACACAAATGAAAAGAACAAAACAAAAACCTTTATAGATATAGTGGATAGTCCCAGGATACCTAAATAGGAATTCCAGGTGGAACAGAGAAGATGGAGAGGAAATAAATAGAAGAAAAATTCTCTGAGCTAAAGAAAGTCTCAGGGCTTTAGATCAAATGAACCCGTTAAGTATGAAACAAAGTGAACAAACAGTAACACACATTTAGATAATATTCTCATGAAATTTCAGAGCTAAGGATATAGGGAAATCTCATAAATATTTTTGCAGGGAGAGATGAGAATCACTTTTTAAAAATCATATTGATAAGACCCTTTTATTAATATTGGGCACTAGAAAATGCGGACCAATGATTTAAATTTTGAGGAGAATTTTAAGAAACAACCTAAATTCGAAAGCAGAGCTGATTTGTTATAGGTATGAAAGGATACATAAAAGTGTAGTTTACTTCACCAGACCTTTGGGTGCTGGGCCTTGGGAGTTATATTACAGCAAAATCAAACAAAAAGAAAACCTTACAAAAAAGATGAACTTGAGATTAAGAATCAACAGAAGTATGTGATGAAAAGAAGTACTAGGTAGGCAGACAACTGGGCTCTGAACTAACCCATAACGTAATTATTTAAAATTAAAACAGAATTCACTGGGTCTAAACATGCCTTTACCAACAACATGGATTCTGTTGAACAAATTCTAATAAGTTGGAACTTGTTAAATGTATGTAATAAAAAGGGAAAAAATTCAGAAAATTAAAAGGCCTCTTTGGAAAGTCCAAATGTGAAGGAAATGAAAATGTGCCTTATTTTTGAATAGTGAGGTGTAATTGAGTGTCAAGAACATAAACACCTTGACACTTGGAATTTAGTGACATAAAATTATTATCTGGGTTTTACCATGCCGTTTGTTTGGGCAATGAATAACACTGTAAATAATTTTTATTATCCAATTTTTAAAAATCAACCAATAGATAAAAAACTTAATAAACTGCAAATAATATAAAATTTAATGTGAAAGTAATTGTATAGTCAGCAATAATGGTATGTGATTACATGAGGGAGCCAGTAGAAACTTCCTAAAGTTGATAGACTAAGAAATAGAGGTTCAGCTATAATATGTAAAGTTGTAACTAATACAAACTAAAATTAGAATGAGCAGAGAAGGTAGGAATTAGGGTAAATCTTCTCAGTCTTTCTTTCTTTGTGTGTGTGTGATAGAGTCTAGCTCTGTCACCCAGGCTGGAGTGTTATGGCACAATCTTGGCTCACTGCATCCTGTCTGCCTCCCAGGCTCAAGCTATTCTCCTGTCTCAGCGTCTCAAGTAGCTGGAATTACAGGCATGCACCGTCACTCCCAGCTAATTTTTTTTTCTTCTATTTTTAGTAGATACAGGGTCTCACCATGTTGGCCAGGCTGGTCTTGAACTCCTGACCTCAAATAATGCACCCACCTCAGCCTCCCAAAGTGCTAGGATTACAGGTGTGAGCTACCACACCTGGCTGCTCAATCTTTTATAGTGAGGATACATTATGATAAGAAGTAATTGATTTTTAAAAATGAGCATGGTAGTAAACACTAGAAGAATTAAAAACAAATGACACACGCCATAATTTCTGAGAAAGGGGCTGAGGTTTGGGTTGGGATTAGGGAAGAGACTAAAGAAGATTTAAGTGTTTTTTGTTGTTTTTTTAATCAGTTTATATATATATATATTATACACACACATACATACATACATACATACATACATATCAGGAAGCCAAATCATTCTACAAATTCCCAAGGGCATTTTACTTATTTTTGGATGATTCTTCTGGTGTTTAGCTCCATATCTCCAGATAACAGTAATAAATTACTACTTCTTCCATGTTGACATCCCATTTAAGAAGAGAGCACAGCTGTCCCCCACCGTCACACAAATGTGCTTCCAGATCCCCCAACTTCCCTGTGTAACTTGCCATATCAGTAATGTTATAAGATGGTTCTCTTTTTTTTTTTTTTTTTTTTTTTAAATTTTGAGATGGAGTCTCACACTGTTGCCTGGGCTAAAGTGCAATGGTGTGATCTCGGCTCACTACAACCTCCACCTCCTGGGTTCAAGCAGTTCTCCTGCCTCAGCTTCCCGAGTAGCTGAGATGACAGGTGCCCACCACCATGTCCAGCTAATTATTTGTATTTTGAGTAGACATAGAGTTTCACTATGTTGGCCAGGCTGATCTGGAACTCCTAACCTCGTGATCCACCCGTCTCAGCTTCCTAAACTGCCGGCATTATAGGTGTGAGCCACTGTGCCCTGCTGTTTGATTTTTTTTTTTTTTAACCATGCCTTGTAATACTTTCATAATAGCAATATTATTTCTTAAAATATCAAAAGCCTGTTGTGGAACTTGATTAATATTTATTTGAATATGGTAGTAATTATTTACTACTATATTCAGCATTTACATTTTTGTCTTTTCATGTAGCTCTAATATGTTTTATAGCAGTTTCAATTGCCTAAAAAAAAGCTTTGTTGTTGTTTGATAAAGTTTTTTTTAACTTTATGGAAACACCTTATTTTATTTACTACTTGGCAAATAAGGGTTGATTCGGTACTTGTTCATGTGCTATGTTGACCTGTAAATGGTTTCTTTTTTCATAAACTCTTAGAAATAATCTTTTTTGTAGCACTTAGAAATTCAGACTGGGGTACCATAACATGAACCTCTTTTTCAAAAACATGGTATTCATTATTTATAATCAACAATTCTTAAATTTTGTGAGATTTATGACTATATTGACTAGATAATATTGTGGTATATAAGAGTGTTCTATGGCATGAAAAATATTTAGTAGATATTCATGTGAAAAGTTTCTCAGGGACATATTCTACTTCTTATAAACAACGGAATAATGTGCATTTGTGGAATGATTCCAGAACAATGTAATATAACAGCTTTTCTGTGAACTTTGGGGATAAGCATGATTTGGATTCTTAGAATAGAAATGCCAAAAGCTGATGATTATGGAGAGAAAACATGTGTCTGTTCATGTCTAGCTTACGCTCAGCAACAGATAGAGGAGGTGTAACTTTTAAAAGCCCTGAGCTAATTGTACTTTCCAGTCACGAAAGTTTTATGGGAATGTGATAGTAGCATATGCAAAAATCAACAACCTGTTTTACTGCTCCATCAGGAAGACTTGGTTCACTTGTTAGGGCATTGCTGTAGTGGATCATCAGGATTGTGTTTAGAACACTGTTTTGGACTCTGTTCAGAAATTCATTGCCTAATAACAAGTGTTTTTCACACTTTCTCATGGTTTACTTGCAACTTCAGCTTACAAGGAACCTTTCAAGAACATGAGTCCTTTTGATACATCAAACCGTGGATTAAAACATATAGAGAGCCTAATTGATTTGCATTGCTCATTTTAAATAAAATGGCTTTTATGTTAGAATTGGGTTAGAAATAAGTCTGTGTTGTAAAGATAAAATTTTCCATGACAGTATTGTGGAGGTAATCTCATTTAGTTCTGTGTGTTTTATCAATGTTCACCAGAAAGATCTATCAAAATTACCTGTATGTACTTTGATGGAAAAGCCAAGAAGGAAGGTGCTCTTTTAGCATTTGAAGCTAGTATGAATATAAAGCATGTAGCCGTTGGTTCTGGATTGCCTGGGTTTCAAAGGCTCTATCTAGTTCAGCAATGCCCAATAGGGTTTTCTATAGCGAAAGAAATATTCATACTATGCTGTGTAACTTGTAGCCACAGTGACTAGGGGGACTGAAGAAGTGAATATTTAATTTTAGTTAATTTAAATTTAAATAATTATATGTGGGTAGTGAGTGGTTAGATAGTGCAATGTCTAGTAGTATTAAGAAACTGAAGGCAAACAAAGGTAATAAAAAAGTACTACATTGAACTAAATCATACTTCTGACCCTAATTTGCTTGGCACAGCTTATAGGCTCTTACCCTTAATTTTCTTCTTCTACTGTAATGTCATCATAGATCTAACGCCTTCTCTGAGCTTTACTGCCTAACTTTTTTTTTTTTTTTTTACTAGAGCTTACACTAGGACTGATACTATTTTGATGTCTGCTATCTTCACCTCAACTTTTTTTTTTCGTTTAACTCCAATACTTTCCACCAGTGAGAGGGCACTCTTATTTGCACATTGCCCAGTACATTTTTTTTCATTTGACAGACTCTTCTTAATTTTTCTAAACTCACAATTATTAAGGCATTTGTTCAGTTTACCCCAACAAAACCCACACTTCTAAGGGTGTTTTCATGTGACTCACTGGCACTGTTACCCTCTAAGTATGTCTAGAATCTTAATGTTATTTAAAAATTGCAACTTTACCTTAAAAGTACCAGGCATGATTCTTTTTTAAAGAAGAAGTTTTGCAAAAATTTATTCTTTTAATTCAGAATATTTAAACAGTAATATTTAAAGATTTTTTTTCTCCAAGTTTATAAACTTCTGTTCTCATGTAGCACAGTTCATCTAGTTTGTGTCTTCAAGTAGCGTTGACTTTTTCCAGCAAAGTCATCTGAATTTTGAGCCCTTTGATCTCACGAATGAAACCCTTGTTTTATCTGTGAAACCATGTGTCTACAAAAACTACAAATACTTAGCTCGGCATGGTGGCACACGCCTGTGGTCCCAGCTGCTCTGGAGGCTGAGGTAGAAGAATTGCTTGAGCCTGGGAGGCAGAGGGTGCAGTGAGCCAAGATCAAGTCACTGAACTCCAGCTTGGGCAACAGAGTGTGACAAGCTATCATCCTGTATAAGGCATCCCCAGATAAGATTAGTGGTTTTTTTTGTTTTGTTTTGTTTTGTTTATTTTTTTCAGGCAGGGTCTCCCTAATATTACCCAGGCTGGTCTGAACTCCTGGCCTCAAGAGATCCTCCTGCCTCAGCCTCCCAAAGTGCTTGGATTACAGGCGTGAGCCACTGCGCCCGGCCCAGGAAAGTTTGATACTATAAGTGTTTTGGATGCCTCATCATCTTTCAAGGTGAATATTCAGCTTCTCTGTATGTACTAAACTCTGTAATGTATATGGCTTTCTAAAAACTGTAACACTCAGGGTTTCACATGTAGCTGTACTTTGAATAACTACCACAGATTACATACAATGATATTGTACCCCCAGATTTATCCATAAATGTTGTAATTCATCTTGAATTTTAGACTATAGTTCTTAACATGAAATCTAGTATATCAAAATTCAAATGGTTTGTCATATACAATGCATAGTTGTCAACATATCACACAAAGTGAAGAAATAAGCATTCTTTTAAATGTTTTCTCTAAATCTGCTTTTAAAGACTTTTAATACTAGCTCAATACAACAAAAATCTTAAACTTTATAATAATTAGTTCTTTGTAGATGGCAGTAATATGAGTTGGTCTACATTACCAGGAAACTATTGCAAGGAGATCAAAGGGAGATCCCCCCCACCCGGTAAATTGTTATATCAGAAATTCACAGGAGTCATGTCAGTAATTTCTTACATTAGAAGAGAGGAAGGAGATACAGTAGATCATTGTATTTATGGACTTTTTTTTAACATTAGTCTTCCTGTTTTGCTGAGCAAGAATCAGTTGTTCATCTTTTTTCTTTGTCATTGAAGAGGAAAAATTTACCAGGAGAAGCAGATTCTTAAATTATTATTTCATACAATTTTAGGAAATTCCTTTTGCTATAAGTTGAATCCCCTGCCAAAAGGACAACCTTAATTTTCACAATGGGCCATTGTTTAACATTGAGGTCACCCTTTTTTTTGGAGAGGGGGAACAAACCCTCATTCTGTCATCCAGATTGGAGTGCAGTGGTGTGATCTCTGCTCACTGCAACCTCTGCCTCCCGGGTTCAAGCCAGTCTCCTGCCCCAGCTTCCCAAGTAGTTTGGGATTACAGGTGCATGCCAACACACCCAACTAATTTTTGTATTATTATTTTTATTTTTAGTAAAGATAGGGTTTCACCATGTTGGCCAGGCTGGTCTCCAACTCCTGACCTCAAGTGGTCCACCCGACTTGGCTTCCCAAAGTGCTGGGATTACAGGCGTGAGCCACCATTCCCAGCCTGACTTTTCATTTTGTGTATTAATTTCAACAGGGGCAAGATTTCCTCCTCCCTGGAATAGGGTCCTATTCTGTGCTTCATAACACATTGAATGATTTGAATAACTTGGAAGGCTTTTTTACCTGCCCTCACGTAGGTTCATAGATTTTTATTTGACTGCTTCTGTTTTGCCCCCTATATGAAAAACCTAAGTAATAGTAACAAAACATTTTTGCATTCTTTCTTGACATGTAAATTTGGTGAATTTCTTTCTTTTGTAGGAGCTTCTTGGGTGCAGAGAGTTGTTACCCATCTGGGTAATTCATGAAATTAGGTCAGGCTCTTTAGAACTGCCTTTAAGTTTCCTTTTTATTCATTGAGGAAGATAAGGCTATATTAAAAGAATGGGCTGTTTGAAGCAAATACATTAGAATGCTTTCTTCTGGTCACAACCTTGAAAATAGGTTTTGATACTCTGTGTCATTAAGAGACAACCAGTGTTTGGGTATGAAATGCCTCTGTCTTATTCTCAAAGCTCAATCAAGACACCCAGTAAGCCACATAATATGTTAAAATGGTAAGCTTTCTTGTAAGGTCTGTTTTGGTTTAAGAAACATATAATAACAACAACGAATAATACACAGTCTCACACACACACATACACACACACACACACACACACCCAAAACTCCACACTTTTTGGTATTGGGCCAAAATAAATAGATAGTGGCCGTTCTTTCTTTTGTCAGTGGCAATTTAATAGTTACACGTTTGAATTCCCAGAGAAAAGTTATTTTCATATGTAACTCATTCATTTAAAAAGTATTAGAAAACCTACTATATGTCAAGTATTCTGCTTGCTACTAGATGTCCAGTTGTAAGCAAGCAGATGTGATTGTTGCCCTTTGGAATTTCTAATCTGTTCATGGCACATTATCACCGGCAATCTATGAGCATAGGCCCTGCTCTAGTTTTACTTAATTTCTATTTTTTTTTTCTTTTTAACTTCCTTCCCCATTACGCTTCCATGAGCATATACTCTGACATACATACCCTTAGAAATGTATTTGTCCTCAAAGATAATGTAATGTTTATGTCTGTTCTACATGTATGTTAATGGTATTGTAGGTATCAGTTTGTGCCTTTTTTCACCCAGTACCATTATATTTAAGCCCTAGTCATCAGTCATTGCATCTGACTGTGTTATTTTTCCATTACCTGCATCCAACACAGGCTTACTCATTTCCCCATGTGTGGAACCTGTATTGCATCTCAGGCCATGACACAATGCTTCAGATACACCTTAAGGACCTGTGCAAGTATTTCTTTGTAGTACTAACCAAAGAGTGAGAATCTGGGTCATTGGTAAGCATAGTGGCTTACCAAGCAGTTTACAAAGATTCCCATTCCCCCCCCTCCATTCTCACCAGCACTTGATAATACTCAGCTTTCTAATTTTTTTTCTTTTAGTTTTGATGTATTATTTCTTGATTCCTCTGATAGTTGGTGAGGTTGAGCCTTTTTTCATATACTTGTTAGCCATGTGAATTGCTTATTCCTATCTTTTGTTGATTGTTCTTAAGTTACCCAGTTTTTTCTTGTTTTTGCTAAGGTTCCTTACAGACAGTTTGGGAAGATGAAATCATCCAAACAGGACATTTTTCATTTAAGAGAAATCTTTTATTTGAATGAAACTAAATCTACGAATGTTGTCTTTTGTAGATGCTTTAAAAATTAGTTTTGCTCTTTAGGTCTGTGTCTGCCTGGAATTTGCTTTCTGTGTTCCAAGACATAGGGATTCAACCACTTTACCCCACGTGGTAAGTTTTCTCAGCACAATCTCCTAAAGAATCCATCCTTTCCTACTGCTTTGAGAAACCAGCTTTGTCCATCCCTAGTCCCATTCATGTAGGGGTTCATTTATAAGCTCTGTTACTAGGTCTATTTGTTTCTCTGCCAGCACTACTCTGTCTTTATTACTTTGCCTTTGTGCAATGTGTCTTAATATCTGGGAGGGAAAATTCCTACCTACCCCATATATAGATACCAGTTTGTGCCTTACTTTTATATACCCAAAGAGGTGTGTGTGTGTGTGTGTGTGTGTGTGTGTGTATGTGTATGTATGTGTGTGTTTATACATACATATATACCTTTGCTCTTTATCGACATTTTTTGATAACTTTATTAGTAAATGATTGACATACTATGACTGAAATATCTAAGATAAAACTCAATGTTTTTAATATATATATTCACAAAGTTGTGCAACAATCACCCAAATCAGTTTTAGAACATTTTCATTACCCCAGAAAGAAACCCCCTACCTTTAGTCATTATTATTCTCCATCCCTCCTGTTCTCATTCCCAGACAACCACTAATCTACCCTGTATCTCCATAGATTTGCCTATTCGAGATATTTTTTGTAAATGGAACCATACAATAAATGGTCTTCTGTGGGCCAGGCATGGTGGCTCCTTGTAATCCCAGCATGTTGGGAGGCTGAGGAGGAGGATGGTGAAGGCCAGAATTTAGCAATCAGCCTGGAGAACCTACTGAGACACCATCTCTACAAAAATTTTAAAAATTAGCTGGGTATGGTAGTACATGCCTGTAATCTTAGCAACTTGGGAGGCTAAGGTGGGAAGGTCACTTAAGTGCAGGAGTTTTGGAGATTATAGTGAGCTATGCTCACACTAGTGCACTCCAGCCTGGGCAACAAAAGGAGAGCCTGTGTCTTAGAAAAAGAAAAGAAAAGAAAAAAAAGAGGTCTTTTATGGCAGGCCCCTTTAACATAGCATAATGTTTTGAAAGTTCATCCATATTGTAGCATGCATCAGTATTTTGTTTTTATTGCCAAATAGTATTCCATTTTATGGGTATATATACTACATTTTGTTCATTCATTAGTTGGTGAACATTTGGATTGCTTAACATTTTTCAGCTATTGTGAATAATGCCGCACATGTAGGTAGAAGTTTTTCTGTGTACCTGGGTTTTCCTTTCTCTTGAGAGTAGAATT